TATATATAAATTGGGAAATAGGGTATTGCATGTGAGCATGCATGCTCAGTCACTTCAGTCATGTCCGACCCTATGAACTGTAGCCCACCAGGCTCCTCTGTCCATAGGATTCTCCAGGCAAGAATACTGGAATGGGTCACCATGCCCTCCTCCAGGGGATCTTCCCGACCCAGGGATCAAACCTGAGTCTTCAGCATCTCCTGCATTGCAGGTGGATTCTTTACTGCTAGGCCATGGGGAGAAGCCTAATAGGGTATTATTAGCACGTAAAGACTGAATAGGGGGCAGGGCATATTTTCAAAAGAAAAAAAATGAAGGAAAAAAAAAGGCTGAATGATATGATTAAAGGACTGTGAGGACTGAGCTGAGGAGCTCTCCTATTTAAGAGGTGAGGGCAATAAGAAAGAATAAAGGAGTTGAAAAGGCCCAGAGGGGCAGGAGGAAAACCAGGAATTGTGGCATTTTTTATAATAAGGAAAGAGAATGTTTCAAGAAGCAGAAAGTGATCAACTATTTCCAAAACTGCTGATAGGAAATGGTAACTATGTGGCAGAATACAGGGGGTGGCTCATGCTACCAGCTAATCATTTTACAGTTTCTAAATGTATCAAATCAACATGCTGTACCTTAAACTTACACAATGTTATGTGTCAGTCATATGTCAATAAAGTTGGGGGCGAAATGACGATCAGTCATGTAAAAGATGTAAATTAAAAACAGACCTTTGGACTTAGCACAATGAAAGTCATTAGTGACTGAGGAAAGCAAAATTTTTTTATAGTAGTACAGACTCATTTGAAAAGACCCTGATGCTGGGAAAGATTGAAGGCAGGAGGAGAAGGGAACGACAGAGGATGAGATGGTTGGATGGCCTCAACGACTCAATGGAAATGAGTTTGAGTAAACTCCGGGAGTTGGTGATAGACAAGGAGGCCTGGCATGCTGCAGTCCATGGGGTCACAAAGAGTCGGACATGACTGAGAGACTGAACTGAACTGAGGGAGACAGTCTAATGAAAGTGAGTTTAATAAAGAATGGGGGAAGTAATTGGACACATGAGTGTAAGTCTTGCCATAAAGGAAAATAGTGTGGTGGCATAAGGAGGAAATGGGGTCAACAAAGAGTAATTATTTTAAGGTAGGAAAAGGAACAGCATGTTTAGATACTGAAGGGAACAATCCAGTAATGAGGGAAAATGTGATCTTGCAGGAGAGAGATGCTGGAGCCAAATCTTGGAGTAGGTGAAAGGAATCTTCATGCAGGAGTGCAGAATTCTCCTTAGAAACACAACCTTATTCCCCAAGACTCTCAGTCCCAAAATAACTGGAGGGAAATCAGAGGTAAATGCAGGTACGCCCACCTCTCACACCCATGGCAACTGTCATTAGTATCAAGGAATTTTTCATACCTCCCAGACTAGAATCAACCTAAAAATGCTCAACATAACCTTCCAGGCATTCCAATAAAATGAGAGTTGTCACATGTGATGAAAAGTGCAGCTGACTCTTGAACAACCTGGGGGTTAGGGGTGTTGACCCTCCCTGAAGTGAAAAACTCACACATGAATCTACCATGTAGCTAGGGCCCTCCCTAGTTATGGTTCTGCATCCATGGATCCAACCAACCAGAAAACCTTCTGACAGAACTATAGTTCAACATTCACAATGACAACATTTGTTGAACACACTTACGAGCCAAATTAGCAAACAGTTACTTATCTGACCCAAAAGATTAGAGGATATAATCTAATACACTGGAACGAACTAAATTCTTCAGTTTAGAAGGTTGAATGAAACACTGGTTCACAGTAAGTGAAATTATGGATTTTAAAATAAATAATAACAAACTATCAATGCCATTTGAATTCTCAACTTCCTTGGGTCTGAAGAAATATTTTCCCTTCATGAACAATGGAAAATTTTACAGTACTTAATGTCAGAGCTTCTGAAATATTTTCAAAATATATAAAACTAAAGTAACTCAGGCTAACTGAATGAAATCCAATATAAATCAACAAAAATTTTAAATCCTAAATGCAGTATTATTACTTCCAATGTGGCTTGCTGCTACTGCTAAGTCACTTCAGTCGTGTCCAACTCTGTGCCACCCCATAGACAGCAGCCCACCAGGCTCCCTCATCCCTGGGATTTTCCAGGCAAGAGTACTGGAGTGGGATGCCATTGCCTTCTCCATCCAATGTGGCTTAGAATAGGTTAAAAAAATTATGAGGCCAGAAGTACTTGGCAGACCCAACTAATAAAAACAACATTCAATCTATTGTTTGAAAAGTGGATGAGGTCTTCTGCATTGCTTGAAAACTCTGTTTCAAATAATTGAAATGGGAGAAAATTGACAAGTAACCCTTGCTCTATTAGCTTAGCAAATTTGTATCCTATCCTGTGGAAACAGTACACACAACTTCCATCCAATTTATCACTAATTGTGAATCAAAGATTGATATTATACTTATAAAACTATACCATATTTTATTATATTACTCATCTTTAGATCTGTAATACTTAAGAAATATAATACTTATAGATTTTCACATTTCCTAAAGAAATCTCTATTGCCAACTTGATTAAAGTTTAAATTATCACCCTTGGTTTCTTTTTTGAAGTAACTGAGCTCATTGTTATAAACCAAGAAATATTATGACCAGGTTTTGCTACAGACCCAAAAATAATCCTGACACTACTATTTCCTTACATTTCTTCCAAATATATTTCATTTTTCACTGTTTTTCTCCCCAAATTTTAATTTTTTTTCCTTCACACAGATATTTTAACATATAATCTGAATCCCTGAGTCTCCCCAAATGTTAAACCAGAAGACTCCATTTGGATTTTTTTCCTCAGCTCCTGCATTTCTCCCCAGTCTTTCCATCTTGATCTGCTCCATTTCTAGAACTAGAAAAATTTTTTAAAGTTCTGTTTTCTTAAATTTTCCCAACCCCTAGTAGTGATGTAGGGGTTTAATTTAATTCACTTAATGGTTTGTGAATAACAGTCAAAAAGTATCACAAGGCTATGAATGTGTGTGTAAGCCACTTTAGTCCATGTCCAACTCTTTGCGACACTATGGACCATAGCCTGCCAGCCTCGTCTGTCAATGGGATTCTTTCGGCAAGAACACTGGAGTGGGTTGCCATGCCCTTCTCCAAGGCTATGAATATTATGTCTCAAAAAAACTATTCTAGAAATTTTACACCTGCAGAAAGACCAAATGGATTACTTAATAAGTACCATCAATAAATCAACAAATGAAAAACTACTGTTACATCTCTATGAGCATCTTTACTCTCAAACTGATGATTTGCTTACCTTTTGGTTATTAATTCTCAACTGTAAAGCAGCAATCAATTAAAATCCAGTAAATTTTAGGTTGATAAAATAAATGTTAACATAGACATGATATTGAAAGACATTAACCAGGTGATGACAACTACCAAATATTAACCAAGTAAGCAAATAACCAAGGCAGTTTTAGTTACCACTAACCTACTAAAGCAAGTAAAAATGCTTTGAAAATTGCATTCTTATCCAATGTTTTTATATCATACCCTTAAATGTAACATTTCAAATCTCCTGATTATTACATTTCAAAATTTAGATGAGTCATAGTGCTTTGAGTGCGGGAATTATATGTGAATCAAAATTGTAAACATGCACTTGCTTGCTAGTCAAAAAGTCAATGTGAAAAAAAAAAGTCAATGTGGACAGATTCAGGAAGAGTAAAACATATAATCTTAAAATATATCCAGGGTTTTGTAAATGGTTACTTCTCAAATATTAACACAGTTCAGTAAACGTGCAATCTGCCCATCCTGTCCTTGAATATCTCGATATTACTAAATATTTCTAACTCCATCCCCTCACTTTACAGATGGGGTGCCTGAGACCTAGGTCTTTAGTGATACTTAGCAGGACTATGCCTCAGAGCTATAACAGTCTGAGGCTTACAGGAGGTGAAAGTAAGGAAAACTGAATGAGGTCCCAGAAGAGCTACATTATATAGCTTATGATACAGGATCATAAGCTTCTGTGCCTAAATCTAGAACCTGAAATTGAATAATCAAATCTAGACAGTAAAACTGGCTGGTAAACTGGAAGAAAAAGACAGGGAATGACCGTTTTACTTTATGGCATAAGACCCTGACCACCAAGGAACCCACTGAAAAAGTGCTAAACAGATGAATGAGTGATTGCAATGGTACTTGATAGCATGACTTCATTGATTTCAGAAGCTCCAAATTTAGAAACTAAACTGAGGATATCATGCTGAAACTAAAACTGATGGAGAGTAAGGGGCAACACAACGGGCAAGTCTCTGTAAATCTCTGCAGAGCTGTTGCTGACATTTCAAAACACATTCATACGTGTATGTGATATACATACAGAGATACAGAAACATACTACTTCTTCAAGTAATTCCTGCAAGTGAGGACAGAGCCAGGAGATCTGAAAACAGGCCCTGCTCACCCACAAGCCCTTGCATTAAAGTAGACAGGATCTGAGTGAGTCACCGGGAATTAGGAGGAGACAGTCACTCCAGGACAAGGAGGGGAGGGCTACAGTCCCCTGTGCTGCCTTCAGACTAGGGAAAAGTGGGATGACTGCAACCTGCTGCAGGAAGGTAGGCGCGCCGACCTGTTTCCGAATCAGGATCCCGCTGAGCCCCACCGCAGTCAGCAGAGCCGGCCCCACCCAGGCATCCGGGAGCTCTCTAACGCCGAAGGCCTACTCCTTCGGGAATTCAGAACCCCAGCAGGACAGGACGAGGGCAATCGACAAGACCTGTCCCCTTCCCGGCCGCCCCAAACGCGACGCGGCCCTGCCACCACATGCTCTATTACCCCATCTCCCATTAGAGCTCCAGGCCCATCGGGCCTCAGCCTCCCTCCCAGCAAGCTGAGTCAGGCCACAGGCGAGTGTCATCGGGCGACCTCTGTGCAGGAGGCAGAGGCCCGCAGCCCGCCGCCTAACACCCGCAAAGCTTACCTCCCTTCTGCCACAAGCTCAGCCCCACGCCGGCTGCCTGACGTGGCCCGCCCCGCCGTCTCGAACGCCTGAGGGCGGTGACTATCGGGAGACAGCCAATGGCCTGCAGACCTCAAGGGCTTGCCCCGCCTCCTCCAACTTCGACCCGCCCGCCCCTGCTTAAGCGCACGCGCGTTCAAAGCCAAGGCCGCGCACTGCGGCTGGAAGACGGCGTGGGCGGCCAAGCGCTCAGCAGCAGTCCCTGAGCTGGAAGGGTGGTGCGCGCGAGTGCTGGCTGTGGGACTGCGCCGCAGTGGGGAGTTAGCCTAGGGAGAGGCGGATTAAAGGAACCCGCCTGGAGATACCACTGCAGCGTGTCCGGATGGTCCTGCTGGCAGCCTGCCGCTATGCAGCTTTTGGCGGTGCAAAAGCAGCTTCTTGGTATTGGGAGATTTTGTTTCCCGGTGTAAAAAAAAAAAACCCAGTACTGATAACTGTAGGATTCAAAAATTTTAATGCAGACGGCAGACTTGCGGTTTCGTTTCTGGTAGTCGCTGCTTGGTTATCTTTACTTCACTTGGCCAACACAGAACATTGAGGTTCTTGGTGTTAGTCTGATATACCCACCTGTTGAGTAGTGTACACGTCATCCTGTGATTTAATCTGGAGAGAACTGGCACCAGTAATTGTTACTTTTATTGTTTTCACTTTTACATAATACCTATTGACTGTCCACCCGTGCATGAACAGGCATTTTCATAAGAAGACTGTAAGACAGCTGGCACAATGGAACAGAAACTAAAAGACAGAGCAGGAAAAAAATGAAAAGGTTATGACAAAATGGAATTCTGATTGTGGATGACAAAAGTGGGAATTATATACAAGATGAAATAGTTAAGACAAGTTGCTCTACAGAACCTGCCTTATCCAACAATTTCTAAACCCTGACTCACCTTTACAAGAATTTGGGGAGCCTGTATTTTTAAATACCAGTGCCTGGGCCCCTTTTCTAGAAAGTCTGCTTTAATAGCTCTGCTGAGGAGCCTTGGCATTGGTATTTTTCTAAGTTTTCAAAGTTTTTTTAATGTGCTGACAAGAAGCTCTACTCACTTATAAGAAGGATTTGGTTTCCTATACTCCACTTCAGAAAAGTAATTATATACCACCAACCGTCTTCCATTCTCTCACTAATCTATTATGCATTCATTCTGTAAGAATGTATCTAAATTAATTTTGAAACTACTTATATATTCAATCTCTGTATGTAGCCCTTTGAGAGAAAGGAGCATTATAAGGTTTATAATTGCTTTTTTTAAATTTTATAGACCTTGATATTCCCCTTCAGTCTTAATAACTCCAAATAGCAATGCATCAACTCTTCTTTTAGGACTAGTTTAATTCTTTTTAAAAATTCTTCCTCTATTCCCTTAATTCTTGAGATACATTAGTCAATATTACAGTTGAACATTTAATTATGTAAACAGCAGCTTTAAATGTGTATCAACTCATTTAATCCAACTGTATGAAGCAGATACTGTTATGACCCACATTTTATAAATAAGGAAACAGACACAAGGATTAAACATCTTAATCAAGAGGCAAAATTTGAATCCAGGCACTCTGGCTCTCAATAAATAAATGTACTGCCTCTGTTACATAAAGACTTGTTTTAGGTGTGTGGGAGGAAATGCCCATTTAAAGAATGGTAATGAGTCTGTACTTTGGCCACCTCATGCAAAGAGTTGACTCCTTGGAAAAGACCCTGATGCTGGGAAGGATTAGGGGCAGGAGGAGAAGGGGACGACAGAGGATGAGATGGCTGGATGGCATCACCGACTCGATGGGCATGAGTTTGAGTAAACTCCGGGAGTTTGTGATGGACAGGGAGGCCTGGCGTGCTGCGATTCATGGGGTCGCAAAGAGTTGGACACGACTGAGCGATTGAACTGAACTGAACTGAATGAGTCTGTGATTTTTCACTTTTGACACTTCCCCTGGATTCTGGGCAGGACTGAAGAACTTTGGCTGTTAAACCAAGAATCCAGAATTGACTTGACAACTTGTGACAGATCTTGGGCTAGGCTGGAAGCATGAGGGCTCACCGTCTTCTGGGATATACTCATCCTGCCTCTGGGTTTGACTCCTTCCATACATGACTATAGTTCAGCAAGCATTGTTCCATCTTTTAATTTATTTAATTTATTGCTATTCCTGGCACTGTGCTAGACATGAGAGATACCAAGAAAATACACAGTCCAGAGACACAAGGAGCCAGCTCATCCTGGAGATTCATTTGGACAAGGTGAGAGGTGTAGACTTTTAAAACCAGAAAAGATGTTAAAAGTTGCCTGTCTATGGCAAGTTTTCACTGACGAGTGTGGAAATGAAGAATAAGTAAATAAATGACAGTGTATCAAGTTTTCATAAAAATAAGTTTATTCAGTGTAAAGGACTGTTCTTCTTGAGATTGTGTTTTGATTTTTTTTCTTGTAAAAATGTTCTGTCATAATAATTAGTAGGTTAAGTTGTTGGGAATTTTGTTTACTTTAACAACCTTGAAGTCCTGTCTTGATTCTCAAAAATTTTTGATGTTTTACTGATTTAGTTTGACTATCAGCTGATGGCGAGGGAAATTGAGTAAGATTGCAGAGGGACAAAGTCCAGTTCTTTTTCTACTGCATACCCACTGGAATAGCCTGTTTCATGAGCAGAAATGTTTAAAAATAGTCATGTCAATAACAAATTTAAGAACAAATTAGGGTCAAGGTTAGACAACAAAGATTAGAACTGATTCTGATAGGCCAGCTGGTTGTTAGCCAGGAAGAGCAGTCTTCAGTCTGCTTAATTAATCAGATTATCTTGGTTTCCTTCTGAGCTGAAAGCAAAGAATGGGGCCTAAGGGAATACAGCGACTCTATGAAGTAATGTTTTGATTGGGGTGAGACCTAGGAAAGATCAGCTTGACTGAGAGGGAACACGCATGTCTGATATAGATATGTGGAGTCTGTATTCCCCAAGAGTCTGCCTGGGGAGAATTTTTGAGAATCAACAGGGAGAGAGTGGACCCCTTCGAGTACCATGGGAGGAGAATCAACTTCGTTCACGTAACCTGCAGAGGGTGATCTAGACCTAATACCAGAAGCCCCAGCACTGATGGAAATTTCAATTGAAGGATTAAAACAGACTTCAAATCTGTATATTATTTTCTGGATAGGCTTAGATTGTATATGCAAATGAACTCTCTGCTTTTTAAATATTCAAGACAAACCACCATCTTGCAGAAGGAAGCAAGCAGACAGCTTTTTCTCTGTTAAACTCCTTGTATTATGACCCCTGAAGAGCTGATAGTTAAGCAGTTAGTTCTCTATTGTACCAGACCCTTTAGATAAGTACCCTTTTTGAAGTCAGTATAGAAGGGCCTATTGACTTTAGCAACAAAAAAAAAAGAAAGAGTAAGAAAAATGTGTCCACTCCCAAATCATTAACTGAACTGAAAAGAATATGCTAACAAAAAAAGACACTGTAGTCTGAATCCTGTACTGTAAGAGAGGGTCACGTCCCCCACAGTATCAGGAGAGGCACAACGCCTTGAACTCAGGCCCAAGCATGCTGGGCTAGTGCAACACGCCCACACATTCATCAGCAGGCAGGGAACTAGGAGAGAAATTCAGAACTGAGTCACAGGGCTCCACTGTTGACACATAACAGAAAGTAGTCTTATTAGACTTAATCAGATGTGAGTAGATGGCTTCAATGGTTCCCCATTTCTTTTAGAGTAGAAGTCAAAGTCCCACAGAGGTCAACAAACTATACATGATTTTCCTCCCTGAATGATGCACCTCCATTGCCAACACACACACACACACACACACACACACACACCCTGTTAATCTTTGCCTTCTACACTCACCCCAACCCACTCCACTCCAGTCAGCTGGCCCCCTTGCTGCCGTGGGATCTTGGCACTTACCCCCTCGTATTTTCATGACTCGTTCCACTGAATCATTCAAGCCTTGCTGCGAGGTTGGTTACCTTTTGGATAAGGACTGCACTCTTAGTCAGGGTCCCAGCAGGAAACAGATGGCACAATCCAATTAGGAAAATGAAGGAGCACTCAATAAAGGGGCCATAACAGAGGTGTGGGCATGGAAGACAGAGGTTGCAAGGGAGACTCAGGAACTCTGAGCCTAAATTAGGGCAAGAAGAAGGAGTAGTTATGAAACCTGGAGAAGGCTGTGTACATATGAGACTACCTCACAGGAGCTGGGACCTTCGATCAAGGAACACAGCCAGTCCACAGTGACCTGACAAGGAGAGAACTCAGGAGCTATTACCTTGCCCTCCATCATTCTCCTCTCTTTCTGATTTTCTGAAGCCAGGGAAGCCAGTGTTGCAGTTCATATGAGCCCATCTCCTGTGGAACAGGAAAGGGGCAAAAAGAAGGTATCTCAGGACTTCCCTGGTGATCCATGCTTCCTCTGCAGGGGACAAGGGTTCAATCGCTGGTCAGGGAAATAAGATCCCACATGCTGCATGCAAAACAAGATGAAGATATCTTGCACATTTACCTTGATCACCTACAGTTCAGTTCAGTGCAGTCGCTCAGTCGTGTCCAGCTCTTTGCGACCACATGAAACCGCAGCACGCCAGGCCTCCCTGTCTATCACCAATTCCCGGAGTCCACCCAAACCCATCTTCATTGAGTTGGTGATGCCATCCAACCATCTCATCCTCTCTCGTCCCCTTCTCCTCCTGCCCTCAATCTTTCCCAACATCAGGGTCTTTTCAAATGAGTCAGCTCTTGTGTCATCTGCATATCTGAGGTTATTGATATTTCTCCTGGCAATCTTGATTCCAGCTTGTGCTTCATACAGCCCAGTCTTTCTCATAATGTACTCTGCATATAAGTTAAATAAGCAGGGTGACGATATACATACAGACTTGACATACTCCTTCTCCTATTTGATCACCTACAACACTTAGCATTTGCTGTGTTAACAAACTACCTTAGAACTTAGCAGCCTGAAATCAGGAGTGTTTAGATTGCTAAAGCAATCATGTCTAGTCATGGT